AACGCAGATACCTAGGTCCCCCTGGGCTCTGGGTTAGGACTTCGGGGAAGTCAGACCCCACAGGCTATGACTTCTTCTCAACCCCTCCCACACCCCAACGTGACCCCTCCCCCGGATCAGAGAGGAGACAGATGACAGCAGAAGGTCTGGGGTGGTGACGCTGGGGTGTGTGACTCGGGCTTCTGAGCAGAGCTGAGGCACTGTTGGGCCTAAAATCAGGACTGGGTACATCCCTTACCAGCTCAGCCATGACCTTGCGTGTGTGCCAGGTCTTGGGTTAGTGCCAGAGGGTAGCAGAGGCAACTCCATGGCTGCCACTGTGTGGCTGAAGTGAGTGTATGCATGTGGGAGACTTCCCTTGCCTTATGGATGAGTCCTCTGCCATTCCCTTCCTCCAAGCTCAGTGCTCTTAAAGGTCTACTCACCATCTTCTCAGTCCCCAGCCTTTACACCTTCTGTGCCATTTCCCAGACACCCACTCCCTGCCCTCTTCCCTCCTGAGCTGGGCAGGCATGAGGGAATCGGCCTGGGCCCCTGACACTGGCTCCTGGGCCACCACTCAGATTCAACAAGCTGGCCGTGGGCTCCGTGGTGGAAAGCGCCTTCCGGAAGCTGAAACACCTACAGGTCCTGGACATTGAAGGCAACTTTGAGGTTGGTGACATTTCCAAGGACCGGGGCCACATAGATGAGGAAGAGGAGGAAGAGGAGGATGAGGAGGATGAGGAAGAGGAAACAGGATCGTAACAAAGTGACGCAAATGTCCCAGGTGGGTGATCTGTGTGTGTGGGGGCTCATCTCCCATCACTGCCCCTGACCAGCCAGGTTTCTGTGTGTTACCCTCTCTGTGTCCTCTGTTCTGTCCCTTCATTTTGAAAGCCTCTCAGCTCATTTTGAATGTAGGCTTGCACCATGGGAGAGGCTGGTTGTGTGGCAGAGTGCCCATGGGAGCCAGTTTGTGCTAAGGCATCCTAATACAAGGAGATGAACACTGCTGGGAGATACCGGGGTGCAGAGACCCCCGAGTCTGGGGCTGGAGTCACTGTAGGCCTTGAGACAGACACTGAGGGGGCTGGAAGAGCTTGTCCAGGGCAGTGAGGGAGAGGGCAGCCATAGACAGTTAATGTACAGAGAGTTTGCACACACAAGCATCTACACATGTGTACATACATACATACTTTACTCCAGGACACAGTCACAGGCAATAACATGTACATATCTGTGTGAAGACATGTGCATAGAGGCATGTCTATTGGTGCCCATTCATATGGGCTTACATGTGGATACACATATATACACATACCTAGTACATGCATGGACTTCTCTAGAAGCAGGGGGTTCAAGCTGCTTCAGTGCTAAGAGCTTGAGGGAGGTAGACACTGGCAAGCCTAACTAACTGGATGTGTCTACAGAGTCCCTGTGACTTCCTAGGGAACAACTGAGGGAGACGCAGGGGTGGAGAGAATTACTGGGAAGTCAGAGAATATATCTACTCTGGGGTGGCAAGGGCAGAGGGGCAGCAGGGGGGAGGCCTCACAAAGGCTCACTCTGCTTAGTACTCCTTTTAGCACAGGTGGCATGCTCGCTCAGGGGTTATGCTGTGAAGGGAGGGTGGTGCAGTGAGGAGCGTGGGTATGGGGGTTGCTGTAGGAATTGCAGGACTCTGGTAGTTGTCCCGCTGTGGAAGGGAGGCCAGGGAGCTGAGTGGCCGCCGTCACAGACAGGCTAGTGGCTTTGATGGTTGGATCTGAAGTCACATGAACTGAGACCATCAGCTTTCTGTCCATGCAGCAGAAGATGCTAAGCAGAGATTTGGGTTCATCCATGGCTAACTCTTTGGTTAGGGTTGTGGGACCAGGAAGACAAGGAACAAAGAAACGGGATAGATTAACAGTCCTGGGGGTCAGGCTTGGTGGCCTGGACAGGAGGAGGGGCAGGAGGAAGTGTTGGTAGCAGAGCTGTGGGGAGGGTGCGGAAACCTGGGCAGATGATAGGGTGTGTCCAGGCAGAGATCCGTGGTCAGAGGGGATATCTAAGGTTAGTTAGGACCTCAGAGAATGTGTTAGGGGTTAAGAGGCCAGGGTGCAGCCATGGGAGGGGACTGCTGGTCATGGCCACAGTTAGGATAGTGACTTGAAGTAGAGCCTGGAGCTGGGAGGAACTGGTAGTTGGGGGGAGGGTGTTGATGGGTAAGGACTGCTGTGAGGACAGATAATGGGAACAAGGTCCACTAAGGAGAGAAAGCGGGTGCATGACAGGGTTGTGAGCATGGAGGGGCAGACCCTGCTCCCAGGGCCAGCTATGGCCTTGTCCTCTGGTTCTGTCCTTAAAAGCCAGGGCTCAGTAGGAAGGGGTGATTGCTATATGAGGATTCTCTGGCTCTCAGGGGAAGAGCTGTGGAGTTCTGGGGTTAAGAAGAATCTTCCCCCTTGTGGAATGTGGGCCATGGTCAAGTCAACTGAGCGGAGTGCTGGGAGAAATCCCAGAGAGTTCTGGATTCCAGCTGGGCACCTCCTGGTTCAAGGCTCCCAGGGGCACCTCCCATCTGCACTCCCAATAACCTAGTTTCCAAATCCCCCTCTCTCTGATTCATTTCTCCCGAAGCTGTGTGTAGCTAGCGCTGACTCTCCGACATGTTCCACAGGACGATGGACCACCGAACTCCTTTCTGCAGCCCAGGCCTGTGCCCCACGAGTGCCCTTCTGACACACCCAACGCTGAGCCCAAGGGGCATCCGAATGCCACAGGCTGACCACAATTTTGTGTCCCACCCCTTCCTGCAATATGTTACAAATCAGACACATACAGATACCACACCCCCAGCTTGGCCACACAGCTAGCTGCACATGACCCTCCAAACTGGCTGTCTGCACAGTCACACACCAGACACACACACACACACACACACACCCCACACCACATCCTGACCTCTGAGTTCACACTGGCCTGGCACACTCAGGCAGCCACCCTCTTCCCAGTTCATACACACACACAGTGACCTATACCACCGAAAGCTCTTGTTTCTGGACAGCTCTGGCCATAAGAGTTGGATGTGCCCTTCCTCTGTCGTCTCTCCTTTGGAGACTCCGGGTTGTCCCCCTGCTCTGTGGCCAGGTACTTTCCACCCTCTGAGACTCACAAAAGCTGGCTTTTGTTTCTTGCCTTACCCCTTCCCCAGGTGCTGGGGCAGGCCCGCCGCAGCGAGCCCCTTCCTGTTGTGCCCTGGCAGGTCACAGGCACTTTCTGAGGACAACCTCAAGGAGGGAGAGGGAAAGGAGGCAGCTGTGGGGCATGGTGGGGGCTCGGGGGCATGGCTGCATTGGTCTTCAGTTCTGCAGGAAAGTTCTGGGTACCTTTGGTTTTGTTTAAGGAGAAAATATATATATAAAGATAAAAGTCTCAAAGCTGAGTTTTCCTGTTACAGAAAAAGTAATATAAAGCATTGTCCCTGCCCCTGCAGCCACGCCGTGTCTGTGTATGCTTCCATCCAGGAGCTGGGCTGGCATCTGCTCAGGGTGGGCAAGATTCAATAGGCAATAGCCCTGGCCAGCAAGAATGAGGGCTGGTGCCGGGACCAAGGGGCCCCACAGGGGTGGTGCAGACAGAGGAGGGATGGGACACAGTAGCAAGGCAGGAAGGTTTGGCGCATGCACTCTGAGTGGGCGACAATCTGCTTTCAGGGTCAGACAGGGCACAGCCTGCACATTACCCCTGCTCCCCCAAACTGAGCCCCCAGGCAGAGGGCCTACCTGGAGAGTCACCTTTGCAGGGAGGTGTTGTTGCTGGTATTACTGATGTGCTCTCTGCTGTCCAAGTAGGGAAGAGGCAGAAGGCAGGTCTGAGAGTTCATGCAGAGCTGATGTGGAGACAGTCTCTTCAGGTATGCCCCGGGAGGAGGTGAGGGGCATGTCCAGTGTGGCACCCCAGCGTGAGCAGAGGGGGGCCTGAGTTGAAAGCTGTAGGGAGGCTGTAGCTAGTGCCATTTGGATCTAGATGACTATATAGGGGTCTCCCTGACCTGGAGATGTGTGGGTACAAGCCTGTCAAGTTCATCAACATATAGACTCCTGCTTGTGACTAGCCGGGCAAGACAACTGGATTCCTCAAAGGCTTTAAGAGGTGGCTCCAGGAAGGCCAAGTGAGCCCATCTACATGAAGGCAGAAGTAACTGACTGACTGGACAGTTGATCTCTCCCAGGTGGGAAGACAGCTATGGTGGACCCATGAGAGGACCACAGAGCAGGGAGTGGGAGAGTGTCCTGGAGCTGAGGCCCTTCCTGTAGTCTTTCCACTCATGGGAAGAAGGTAGAATTCAAGGGTGAGGGCCTGTGCCCTACTGATCCTTGAGTGACCTTGGGGTGGCCTGTCTCCTCCCTGGGTCTCAGTATCCTCATGGACCTAGTATATTACCCCTCCTGACCCCAGAGTGATACCCCCACCCCATCCCAGCCCCAATCCTGGCTACAACAGATTGTGTGGACAGCGCCCTTCTTTGCCTTAGGCTTTTTGAGCAGGTCCTTCTTTAAGGGCCTGCTCACAATGTTAACTAGCCAGCGGCAGGCTTCCACTGAGATTTCTTCCTTCTCTGGGATCTGATTTCAGGGCCAGAGCCCAGATCAGGTTGGTGAAGGCTAGGAGGTCTGTGAATAACAGCCCTGGGAAAAGCCAGCTACAGTCAGGCCTATTGAGGTGGCCTGGGGTGGGCTTGTCTCTACTCCGTCTCCCACATGTGATAGACCTGTCCTCACTGTGACCACCAGAGCTGGCTGACGTGTACTCTATCGGCTTTCATCCACTCAACAAAGGAGTTCTGTCCAAGAGTCTGGTCTCAGCCAGGGAGTGTGGCCCAGGCCTTATAACCTCAGCATTTGGGAAGGCAGGGGCAGGAGGACTGCTACTAACAGAGTTTACATAATGGGTGGTTAATGCTGCCTAACAAGACCATGTCCCAGATCACAAAACAAACCACCACCAGCACAGCCTGCTGCATCCACAAGTCCTGAAAACACAAAGACTTTTATTTATCACGTTATTGCAAACACAGAAAGAACTAGTAACTCTCATGCCACTTTGCCATACAAGTCTTTGTGGAGATTGGACCCCAAGGTACTGCTGGTCGCTTGGCCAGAGAATCCCAGGCTAGGCTTCCCTTCCTGTGGCCCATCTTGCCTACCTGTCCCATGGAAGGCTGGCTGGGCTGTACCCATGGGGCCTCCCAGCTCTAGTGGACATCATTCTCCATATTAGATGAGAGATCTGGTGGGCAGAAATGGCCACATGGAAGGCATCAGGTCTCAGCTCTGGGATGGGCCGGCCCTTACTGGGAGTGTTGGGTTAGAACCACATGCTGTGGGGTGGGGCAGGTTGACCTGACCTGGACACAGCTGGGACAGAAACAGGGACGCTGTTGTTATATCTCTATCAGTTGGAAGCAGTGGTGGCTATGGGGACCCTGGAGAGGGCAGAGCCTCTTTTGCTGGTCCTTGCAGGCTGCCTTGTCCTCCAGAAGGGAATGGTCAAGGCTCCAAAGACTTGAGTTCACATCCTGACCCTGATGTTGCTTTCAGTGAGTGGTTTTAGCTCTCAGGCCCCAAAACTCTTCCTCCAAAAAGTAGAGGTAAAGACCCTCCCTGCCAGGAGCTTTTGTGGGTTCTTGCAGGAGAAATGTCACAGCTAGGTCCTGGGCCGCAAGAGCCCTTGGTTGTGGGCTCCTGCACGAGTTGTCTCTTTGCTGAGACACTTCCTCATCAGTGGCTGACTGGCCTGTCAGTGGAACTGGAACAGGCTTTGCCAGCTGCGTGGTTGTATTTTGAGTTCAGCTCCTACCCCAGGGTCTGGCCTGGCTCTGCAGCCCTGTGGGCTCACACATTAGTCTCCAGCTCACTGATCTCGATGGTGCAGTGGTCTAGGCTGGCAGTGGCCGGCTCCTCATCCTGCTCTACCTGGACTGGGATGTGGTGGGGGCACATGGGGCCAAGGGTTAGCTCCGAGGCCTCAGCCACACTCTTCACACAGCCATTGTGCTGGGTGGCCACAATCTCCTGCAGTGTCACTGGCTTGGTCTCACAGGGTAGCAGTTTCTGGAGAGGAAATGAGCCCTGTTAGCACTAGGAGGGACTGAAGGTAGGTAAAGCCTAGCAGCCACCAAAAGGGATTTTCCTATAAATACAGCTGGATAGCCTTGGCCTGGGTAGCCTAGGCAGGGCACAGGCTTCTCTGACTACCAGTTTGCAAGGTGCCTTGCCTCCTGCCTCCTATCTTGGTGGTAAAGGGACTTACCCCACAGGGTCCAGTTGGAGAGCAGTAGATCTCCTGCCTGAACTCAGCTTCCCTCCAGTGAAGTAGGTACAGCCAACTACCCATACCTGCAACCCTGAATACCAGACAACTTCCAGCTGCCCCACAATATACGACATGAGGGACTGGGTTTCTCAGGGGGGAATGTGCTATTTTTCCCCCCACTGCTTCCCTGGCTGGATCTGGGCACTCTGTCAGGTCCACCGTGAAGTCTGCAACCCCACCTGGCTCTGGCTCTTAGAGGCTTCCTGGGGAGACACTGCTCTCACCTCAGTGCCTGTGTCCTGAGCAAAATCCTTCCGGCAGATGTGGGCCATGATCCCGGCTGCCAGCGCATCACCCAACACGTTAATCATGGTACGGAAGCGGTCCCTGGCAAGTCAAGGTGGGCAGTGAGCCGCAGCAACCTCAACCAGAAATCGGTGGAGGGCCACGCTGAACTGGAAAGTAAGACCACTGCACAGGAGAAGCACAGGCAGTGACTGCCCATGGGGATGCACCCAAGCCATCCTCAGCCGTGCCTAACCAGCTGAGGAGGCCCCATCGTGAACACAGGCCCTGTGTTAGGAGGGGCCAGACTTGGGGTCACTATCTAGAACTCTTCTTTGGAGAATGCAAGGGGACTCTGTCTCGACTTTTGAACCCTGGGACCCCCAAGTCATACAACTGAGCTGGGTGTAGATTATTGGGGCGCCCCCATGCGCCCTGCATGGCAAGGGAGGGCCTGGGTAGGGACTGGACTGAAGCACTCACAGAGCCCAGTCTACAGCGATGATGAGGTTGATGTCGTCGGTGGGCAGTCCCACAGAGGTGAGCACGATGACCATGGTGACGAGCCCTGCCTGTGGGATGCCAGCTGCCCCAATGCTGGCTGCAGTGGCCGTGATGCTGCGGAGGGAGGAGGGTGTGGCAAGGACACCTGCTACAGCACTGGCTCCTAGACCAGAATGCTAGGTCCTCAGGGTCAGCCAGGGGGTGGGGGCAGTCACGAGTAGCTCATCAGGGGGTTCTCAGAGCAGCACGTGTCTGCTCGCAGTCCTTTGGCTCATGGGTCCCCATCCCCATCCTTGAGGGAACTGGAGTAAGTTAGGGAACTGTGCTGTGGGACAGAGAGACTCAAATTCCGGTGGTCCACCCCAGCCCCACCCCAGCCTCACTGGTCCTCAGGCCTGGCCCTTGCCTCTCGGCTCGCCCCGATCCCAGAGATCAGGCTTAGCCTAGCCCTAGCCCTGCCTGCGGCTGCCGTGTGCCCATGTCCTTGCTGACCCAGGAGCCCGCTGGGGTGTGGCAGCAGTACACACCTGATAGTGATGATCTGGCCAAAGTCCAGCTCGTAGTTGTTGACCTGGGCGATAAAGATGGCAGCCACAGCCTCGTAGAGCGCGGTGCCGTCCATGTTGATGGTGGCGCCCACAGGCAGCACAAAGCGGGCGATGCGCCGGTCAATGCGGTTGTTCTCCAGCAGGCACTTGAAGGTGATGGGCAGTGTGGCTGAGCTACGGGCAGAGGGCCAGGTGTCTGCCCACCACCCTCCTCCAGGACGGTCAGGGCCTCTGAAGTGAGTTACTACAGGAGGGCCAGCTCACTGATGCCCTGACAGAAATGTGTGGCATACACGTGGGTCCGCTCAGGCTAGTAGGAGTGACCCCAGGAAGAGCACCACTGTGTGTTAGGCATCAGGTTGCCCCTTCATCTTCCCAGGGGAGGAACGCCAAGAGTGTCTATAGCGGTGACCCGCAGAGACTATGCCAGAGTGCCTGGACCTTGAGTGCAGTCTCCCACAGGTCCTCAGCAAGCCCTGTAACCTGGGCACCTTGGTTTCTGTTGTACACAACTCTCAGGTCACAGAGTGATTGCAAGATCAAGCCATGAAGTGCTTAGAGAAGCACCTGATGTTATATCTCTGAGGGGTTTCTGCTGCAGGGTACGGGGTGCCTCTGACAGGGGTGAAGCATGGCACTGTCTGGGAGACTGAGGCCCAGGCAAGAGTGGTGACTTTGGCCCGGAAAGATGGGCTTAGGTCCCCACAGCTCCTTCCGCATGTCTTGGACGCCTGATCTCAGGACAGTATTGTATCCCCACAGGGCAAGGTGCCGTGCACGGCCACTGCATTCCCTGCCTCCTCCTGTAACTCTCCCAGGTCTTCCGTACTCAGCTGTGGTAAGGAGCCCCTAAGGCCGGGTTCATTGGTTCTATTGGCTTTCTTACCCCCGGTGGATTATCCCAGTCTCTGAAGGAATCCTGTGAGGTACAAATTATTCCAGTCCAGGTATGGGGACACTCAGGCCTGAGAAGGTTAAGGGACAGCCCGCCATCACACTGGCACGCCTAACAGAAGCCTGACTCCAGCCTTGGCCGTCCAGAAATGCTACCCAGGTTGAAACAGGTGCTCCAGCCTGGACATCCCATATGGAGCAGACAGACCGAGCTCCCATGATGTCAAGGGGTCTACCCTGACAGGAGACATGGCTGTGGAGTGAGGACGGTCCTCCATGAGGATTGAGAGAGCTTTGGTCCATGGGCAAAGGAAGGCCACAGAGTCTTGAGCATTAAGTCCCACACGGTGATATTACCAAGACACTGTTGCCACCCCTGGGATCTGTCTAGAGCCGTGTTAGCACTTCCTGTGGTTCTGTGGTTGGATTTGTGGACAGAGCTCTGTTCAGCCCACCCCCAGCCTGCTCAGCGCTTCCCTGGGGTACCTGGAGGAGGTGGCCAACGCAATGAGCAGAGCTTGGAGGACTCCGCGGATGAAGACGATGGGGTTCTTCCTGGTGATGAGGAAGTAGAGTAGGGGCAGGATGAGGAGGCCGTGGACCACTAGCCCGCATACCACAGTCACGGCGTAGAAGCCCAGCTTCTTCCCCACCGCCTTGGGGTCATCCATCTCCAGGATCTTTCCAGCAATCAGGAAGACAATGCCAAAGGGGAAGTACCTGGGGTGGCAGAGTGACCTCAGGCTCAGTTCAGGTTCCCATCCCACCCCTCACCTTGTCCTCATGCGACCTCATCTCAAGCCCCTCACAGGGACTGAACGAGACTGTAACCAACCGAGGTGCCCAGCCGAGAGCCAGGCCCGTGGCATCACTAGTTCTCCTCGGTTACCCCAACCCTAGGCAGCCGGGGACCTCACTTCGAGAAGCTGCATTTTAGCTCAGCAATGCCACATCTCCTAGGTGACCATGCATGCCCTTCTAACTAGAAGGCTCCTGGGGTCTGAACTCTTAACCAGGATGGTTACTGGTTTTCACTTCCACTGTGTGCTTTCTGCAAAAGCTGGGTTAAACAGGTTCCACAGGGGAAACTGAGGCCGCAAGAGCAGAAGCCTAGGCTTGGTTGTGCTGGAAACCCTGCAAACACAGCCAGCGCACCCAGCTGAGCCTCCTGTGCAGGTTGTTGAGCTCCTAAGAGAGCACTGAGAATGGGCCAGTGATGTGTCCAGGACAGGAAGAGTGGGGGGGGGGGCTCCATAGAGCAAACTTACCACCCCGCTACCGCCACGATCTTCATGACGGACTCATTGAGGCACTGGCAGAAGCTGACTAGGGGGGTCCCGCTGTCACCCATGCGGCCCAGCATGATGCCTGCAGGGTGACACAGAAAGTCACAGGTGCACCAGGCCATCGTGCAGGCATGCTGATAGCAAGGAGGGACAGGTGAACACAATACAGAGTTCAGCCCTTGCTGACATCCCCGCAGCCTCTAGAATCACAGTTCGTTCTCCACACGGCGGCAGACAGACATTCATCCCTTGAGATAAAAGGCCCTTGAATACATCCTGATGCCCAGCCCACTTTGACAGTAACCAGCTCCCCAGCTCCAGCCGTTCTTACCTGACCCCTCTACACCACCCTGCTCTGTCTGCTCTTTCTCCCTGGGCCCTGGCCTCATGGGCCTTAGCATTCTAGACAGCAGGTTCTCGGCTGCCTCAGAGCATTTCCCCAGTTTTCAATGTCAGGACGTCTGGCTGTCAGTTCTCTTGGCAAGAGCACATGGGGAGACTGTTCCTTGGCATCAGCCCTGTGACCGCACCATCATGTCACCATTCTGTCCTTCGAACGCTCTGCATGCGGTTTGGCAGCTCAGTGACCTCTGCCCAACAGGAAAAGGTGGGCACTGAGTGTGGCATGTGGAGCTCCAGAGAAGGGCTCGGTCGCCATGAATCCACACAGAAGTCACCCTGTGGTGGTGGCGTGAGGAAGGGCCTGCCCGTGTAAGCGGGAGAAGCCAGGACTGGGGTGACACCGGGCCAGGCCCACTCATCTGGCTTGCGATGCTGGCAAATGAACCAGCTCACACCTTCCACCTCTGTCTGCCTTCTGGCTATTTCTGCCCCTCCTCGCCGTCATTCACTTGGATGTCTCCAAGATGGACTCTGGGCGAATTCAGATCTAGTGTGCATAGGACACAGTTGTGACAATGAGGCACCCCACAGGTGACCTGAGCGCCAGCCTTGTCCCAATATCGAGAAAGATCGGGGAAGGACACAGGGATGTAGGGCAACTGTGCCTAACGGCACGGACATACGCAGGTGAGGGCGCTCTCAGACTCTCAGGAGTGGGCACGCCAGCTGGCTAAGACGGACTGGCGCCAACAGCACACATGTACAGGGCACACAGACAGTCACACTGCCTGGTGAACACCGAGTCTCAGACATCCCATTTCACTGCTCCCTCGGATCCTTCATTTGCTGCCTCATCCGTCAAAGAGGCTGGAGGAGAGGAAAGCCCAGTGGCCGGTGCCACTTTCCAGCGTTAGCCCTTACGTGTCTGGTATTTTGGCCAAGGCGACCGGAGCTTTGCTATCCGTTATTGCCTACATGCTCAGGCATCGCCCAAACATGTTTTCATCAGGTTCCTCTAAGCTCTGCCCTCACTAGTCACCATGGAGGGATCAGGTAAATAGACCATAAATAAGCCACCCAAGTGATGCTGAGTCACCTAACCCAGCTTCTGCGCGCTCTACACAGACAGTGGCTAATGTGACAGGGTCAGATGTTCTGTGGAGCATCCCGAGCAGAGAGGTCACAACCCGGGCACCTGACTGAGTCTGGGGCCAAGAAGACCCTGGTGAGGATGAGAGAGGTGGCTGTGAGGAAACACAGGGGCAGTGGGCTAGAGAGAGCAGAGGCCTGGGCCACAGCACTGCAGGGAGGTGGAGCAGCCCGGGCCACACCTCTGAGTTCTGCAGCCTCCAAGGCCCCGTTTGGCTTCTGTCCGAGTGCAGCCTACAGAACAGAACTGGCTTCTTGTTCCCAAGGGGGGGACAAGAGCACAAAATGCAGGGAACCTCCAGGCAGCTGTTGCAGGGTCCAGATGGCTCCAGGGTGGTGGTAGCAGCAGAGAGAGAGAGAGACAGGAGGCAGGCCGGCAGGAGCTGGGTAGGGGACCTGCTGGGGTCAGATGGCAGTGTACACAACAGGATGCTGGGCAGGCTGTGTGAGGGTGAAATGGGTGGGAAAGCCAGGAAGCAGGAGCCAGCCACACCAGGGCTGATGCTGAATGTTTCCTCAGACGTCCAGGCCTGGAGCTCCCCCCAGACAGGGGGTCCTGTGTGTGGCAGTGGTGGCGGTGGGCAGCATTCCTGGCAGGAGATCGTGACATCTGAAGCCATACAGGTTAGGGGCCTCTTTAAGAGCAAGAATGGAAGCTTACACTTATAATCCCACTTGGCAGATGGAAGCAGGAAGGTCAGGAATTCAAGGCCATCCTCAGCTGCAAAGCGAGTTTGAGGCCTGCCCAGGCTGCATGAGGCCTTGCCTCAAAAAAAAAAAAAAAGCAAAAAGCAAAACCCCAAACTATATTCATTTGTATACATGTGTGAAATTTTCAAAAGCAAAGAAAAAGTTCAAAACCAAAACACAAGCAAAACTGAGAATATAAAACTACCCCCCCACCACCACCACAACAAAGAAGGTGAATGCTTTCAAAGGTTCACATACAAATAAGGACCCCACATCACACCCTTAGTGGTTTAACTGAATAAACTGCTGTGGTTGGAGGGACTTTGGGGACCCAGACAATACTTGCAAAGGGAAAGACGTGCTCAGGGAAGTTGCTATGAGCACCCAAGAAATGACACAAACAGCTCTAGAGGGAGAGGCAGCTAGGGAAAAGCCGGGATGTGGGATGAAAGTCCTATCAAAAGGGCCAGCTGTTCACCAACTATCATCTCATGACTTCAGTAAAAGGTCCAAGGTCGGAGAGAGGTAGCAGGGCCGACGCCTGTGTGGGCAGAGCAGCCCCAGGACAGGAATTCTCAGGACTCGGAGCCACTTAGGAAGGAGCAGCAAAGAAGGGTATGGAAGACTGGGAGGGGCACTGCAGGGGGCAGTGACAACGCATACCCATGGTGGCTGAGAAGATGACAATGCCTAGCACGTTCATGCCATCACTGGTACCAGGCTCTGACTTGTACACGATCTCCGGTGGGGGGGTCAGGTCCAGGGCAAAGTTCTGCACACGAGAGCCATTGTCTTCCCGGACCCCGTAGATGAGGACCCGCTGAGAAGGGGCCTCCTCTGACGCCCCCTTGGGAGACTTGATAACTGGAGTGGTCTTGGTGCGGTACTGTTGGGGAGCATGCCAACCAGGAGGGAATCAGTACCATGTTATTACAGGAAACACTTGAAGGCACGTTTGTACTCGCTTGTAGTACATGGATGTCAACGGACTGTCGAGGGAGAGCCTGGTGAGCCAGGATGTCACCCACCACAAAGAGAAGGGAGTCCTTCATCCAGCTACATGGTGCCTGCAGCTCTCTCCAGCTCTCTGTCACCCGACTCCCTCCACCCATCTGCCTCCTCCTCTGCCAGAAGCTTCCTCACCCATCTCCCCTTCCACCAGGCCAGTACCCATGCACCAGGCAGCCGGAAGCCCTGCTGTCTCTTGGAAAGATCCAGAACCTTCTCAAAGAAAGCTCCTAGGCCCCAGGCCTAGTCAGTTACCCAAGGTCCTCCTCTGCCCATCAGGCTGTTCCTAGGGCTTGCTCCCTCGTTCCTCAGATTCCAGGAGCCCAAACAAGGGGGCAGCTGTCCCTTCAGACAGCACAGCATCAAGACTATAGGGCCTTTGTGGGGAGTAGAGGAATCAATTCAGGAAATACACAAAAGCGTCTGGCTTTGTGTCCCTCACCACAGGGGCATCTCCCTCACTGGATGAAGTAGGGCGCTCCCACAGCTGCTGGCCTGCGGAAAGTCCCTCATGAGGCTTACCGTTACCAACATCAGCGCACACAGAACTGAACCAGATACTTTCTCCTCAGGGCCTTGGGGCAGAGAGTGACTAACAAAGGGGATGGGGGTATTTGATTTGGGTCTCGAAAGATGAGTAGTTTGCCAAAAGGAAAGGGTCATAAAATAGATTAACACTCGTAATCTCCAATAATTCTCCGCCCCCAGGGCAGAATGCTCTTCCCTGCCCAGCCTTCCGGGCCCTGTACCAGGGTGGCTGTGTTCCTGGACAGAGATTAAGACGTTGGCTACTTGCTGCTTGTTCTGGGGTCCCTTTCCATGCCCTTAGCCAGCTGCTTTGTGTCCCCAGCCCAGGCAAAGGACTTAGGAAGGCACTAGCGTGGTTGCATCGGCAACTGGCATACAGGAAAAGGGGTAGAGACCTGTAGAGGAGCAGGAGTGTGAGCAGACAGCTTGGGAGCCACCTGCATGACCTGGAGGGGACAGGCAGCAAACCAGGGAGGCCGCCCTGGGGAGGGCGGCTCCTGACACGGTGGGGCGGGGCGAGATGCAAACCGCACACCTGAAGATCCTAACCTCAGTTTGGAGACCTAGAGAAGCGGTAACATCTGCTTCCTCTGTTTCTACACCCTGGACCTAGAGGTGATTTCATGCGTTAACTGAGGGTGGGTTTGCATTTTTTCTTTTAAGTTCATTAATTTATTTCGCTTTTAGACATATTGCCTAGGCTGCCCAGCTTTGTCTATTTTTTTCTTTAAGTTTATTATTTTATTTTTTTGCGGCCTAGGCTGCCCCAACCTCCCCGAGTTCTGAGGATTACAAGTGTATTATCAAACCTTGTGTACGCAGTGCTGGGAATCAAACCCAGGGCTTTGTGCATGCTAGGCAAACAATCTGCCAACTGATGCACACTCCCCAGGCCCTGTCTGATGTACTTTGACATTTCCTAATTTCCAACAGTGAATGTTATTACTATTCTTATGGGGAGACTGATTTTAGAGAGGAAGCATGTTAGAAGCTAGCCTGACCTGAATTCATCCACTCTCTCATCCTTGATTAGTGGTATAATCTTGAGCAATGATCTACTTCTGAGCCTCAGCTTTCCCATCCAGGAAATGGGCTGGTCTTACCTTAGTGTGGACACTTGTTAGGATGATTAGGAGGGTGAGTGTGAACACCCATGTGCTGAGTCAGGTGCTCAGTCAATGCTTTCTTCTGCCCCACGGAGTTTCTTTATGAGTAACTGGAACCCAGGACGGGCATGGCCAAGGGAGGGCCTAAGATATGGATCCTGCCCATGCCCCCTCCCCCCTGACATCCACCTGTAGAAGACAGGAAGGCTGCCAGCCTGTCACTTTCCAACTAGGCCCAGATAGCCCTGCCTCCCCTCCCGCCCCTCCCGCCCCTCCCTCCATAGCCAGGCTCTGCTCACCTGTTTGAACGTGGCCTCTACCAGGTTGGCTGGGAACATGTTCCTGAGAAGAGAAGAGAGGCAGCAGTTAAGGATTTCCAGTGACAGGATAGGAGGCCTTTGGAGGTCATCAGGATATACCTTTGGCAGCGGGTAGTGGGAGCCTTCCATGAGCTCCACCCCGGGTGGCACCCATGCCAGTGGTCCCCAGTGATTCTTAGAATGTCCAGTTCCAAGCCTTACTCACACTGCTCCCGAAGACGGACATGGCATCCCTACTTCCCTGATTGCTTAACTGCTAGGCAAATCGGCACGCTTTCCCTAGCCAGGTGTCTGACTTGAGGCAGGCCTGTGGCCTTTCTGTGTGTGGGTCACCTTGGCAACTTATAGATGTTTATCTTCCGATGAGCTGGCCTCCTAAAGTTAAGTCTCCATCTGTCTCCTCCATCCTTTTGTTTATTTGTTTTTTGAGACAGGGTCTCACTACATGGACTTGCCTGGCCTGGATCTCACTATATAGACCAGGCTGGCCTCAAACTCATAGAGATCCTTCTGTCTCTGCCTCCTAAGTGCTGGGACAAAAGACATCTGTCACCACACCTGGCTTCCCCTGTATCTTTGATAGCCTTTGTGTATGTGTGGGCCCGACTCAGACTGGACACGCAGTGGACCAGTTTAGTCATTCTTCCTTGGTTCAGAGATTGACCCTAGATCCTCCCTAGAGCCCCCAGTTTGAGGATGCTGTGTTAGGAGACATTAAGATAACCCACGTGCATGCACATCCTGCCTGGCGGTCAATCATCTCTGGACACTGTGCAGTGCCTGGAGCCCAGGAGTCTGATGGAAGGAGCTGATGTGCTGCGTGGATGGAATAGTGACAAGAAACCCAGCACATTTAGTGACAAGAAAGCCAGCACATTTAGTGCACAGGCCGCGTGGTCCCTGAAAGTTTTTGACCAGCAGTTGGTTGACTCCATGGACATGAAACTCATGCCAATGGAGAACTGACTGCGTCTTATTTATTTTAAGGCTGAAGGTAGAGGGGTTTTTGTCCTGCCAGATATGAATATATACTAGACAAGTATAGTTGTTTCAATGCAATGTCCTACACACACAACAATATGGCAATCCACACCATAGAGACCGGAGCACAGGGCAGAAATTCCAATGGCTAAGCATTTAATTTCTGTTGTCATTTTGGCATTATGTTTGTGTGTGTGTGCCTGCAGTTGAGTGCCTTGGCATGTGTGGAGGTCAAAGAACAACTTTTAGGATTCAGTTCTTTCCTTCCCCTTTTTTGTGGGTTCTAGGGATCAAACAGGTTGTCAGGCTTGTGTGGTAAGCACCTAATGAGCTAGTTTGCCAGCTTATCTGTCTGTCTATCTATCTATCTATCTATCTATCTATCTATCTATCTATCTATCTATCATCTATCTATCTGTCTAATTATCTATCATCTGTCTATCTAATCATCTACCATCTATCTAATCATCTATCACCTATCTATCTAATTATCTATCACCTGTCTACTTACTGCCTGTCTGACTATAGACAGGGTCTCACCATGTACCACAGGCTGCCCCCAAACCTGCCTTCCTCCTAAGCACTCAGATTACAGGCGTGTGCTACCGTGCCCGTCCCAACAAGTACTTCATATTTTGGGAAAGCCGTTTCAAAAGCCAGCAAGGAATTAAAGGAGTCACCATTAGAACTGAATAGCCGACCAGCCATTCTGAAAAGTTGTTCACTCTGTTATTTAATCTTCTACCAAAACAAATTCCACTTGACTTCAAGACATAATTTTTGCAATGAAACGGTAAAAACCTAGAGGACACTAGGTTAATCTTTTATCACCGCCTAAACATGGAAGGGCTCGCCAAGAACAAAGTGGACAGCTCAACAGATTTTACTCATTGAAAAGAAGAAATTGCTCAGTTCACTATGCCATCCTGGCTGGGATAGTGGAACAGAAAAGTTCTTAATGGGAAGCTATCCAAATGGAGTTCTGCAACAGACTTGAATGGTGGCACAAGCCTGCACCCCCAGCCCTGGAGCGATGGAAGCAGGAAGACCAGAAGTTCACATCCCCTCTGGGCTGCCTGAGTCTCTGCCCCAAAGGACTGAACAGACCAGATCTGTAGTTTATTTCAAGGTGGCCCAGTTCCATTTCTTAGTTTGAAAGGTCCTGTGGTTACAGAAGATGCTAACATCTGGTCACTGGAGAGGGTAGGTAAGATTTCTTTTCTTTGCTACCTTCTGAAAACCTAAAATTATACCAAAATGTCATTCTGAGGGGAAAAAAACCAAGATGCTTTCTAAGGTTACAATGCGAATGAAATTACAAAACAAATGACAGACAAGCTGGGGCATCTCAATGACTACAGTAATCACCAGACTCTGAAAATATTTTCAACAACTCCTGCTTTCTTCCATCTTCACCAGCTGTCCTCTCTCACGGGATCTCAAATCCCTCGAGAGCAGGGGCATTTGTTCTTTTTGCCTGCTTGGTCCCTGGAAGAGAGCCTGATACACAGTAGGCACTCTGAAAATATTTGCTGCTTAAGCAAGCAGGTCATGAAAGCAGTGACACTTCACTAGAGAAAGACGGAAAGACATGCCCAGGGATCCTCCTCACAAAAGAGGATATGCAAATTGCCAAAAACTTTTTTTAATGTTTTGTAAAATGACAGTCCCCACGCTGGGGAGGTGAGGGAGATGCGTGCCTTCAAGTGGCCCCTGCAGTGACCTTTCTCTAAGGGATCTAGCAAGACACTCCCACCTCTGCCCTTCCAGGACGGTTACAGATTGGAGATGCTTATGGCCTCTTGTTCAGTTTCCCGGAATGAGCTCTGATAACACACCCACGCTGCTGTTGTCCTGGCTCACCCTGGCTCACTTGTCTTGGCAGTGCTCTTTCTAGATTCGGTTCACACACGAGTGAGGCTGTACACGTGGACATGAGTGTGCTCTGCTTCCTAAGCCTCCTGCCCAGCGGCTGGGGCCAGAAGCAGCGTCTGCCTGCAATGTCTGTGCTCCTGCTAAGGCTCCGTGGACACATCTGGCCAGAGGAGGCGGGTGGAGGAGCTACCCAAGCAGAGGCTGGCTGAGAGCATTCTGTGACCCTTCCCCCAGGGGTATCAGTTTTGTCACCAGGGAAGGGAGCTGTGATCTCATTGAGTTGGAAGCTAATGTCTGCCATCAGATTGCCCTGATTGTCAAACAGTGTGAAAATCTTGGTCAGGAACCCCAGGAGGCTCAGGACTTAGGAGGTGGTCAGCCTTACAGAAAAGACTCTAGGCTAAGAAGAGCTAAAAAGGCAAGCATGTACATTCCTTCAAGACTTCCTTTAGTGTGAGGCCACTTCATCAGGTGGCCCATGGCGGAGCAAGCGAGTTCCCACCAGTGTGGGTCCTCCCTCCCTTCCTTCTTTATGGAGGCCTGTTAGGGAAAGAGAACATCTTCTTGTGTCTTTAAACAGACAGCCCCAGAGGGGAGAGGAAGTCACTAAACTCTATCCCTAAAGAATGAATGGCGTTAGTCTAGGACAGTGGTTCTCAACCTTCCTAATGTTGTGACCCTTTAATAAGGTTCCTCATGTTGCTACCACAAAATTATTTTCATTGCTATTTCATAACTGTAATTTTGCTACTGTCATGAATCATAATATAAATGTTTTTGGAGACAGAGGTTTGCCAAAGGGATTGTGACCCTCAGGTTGAAAAACACTGGTTGCTAGGCTGTGGTGGCGCACACCTTTAATCCCAGCACTTGTGAGGCAGAGGCAGGAGGATCTCTGTGAGTTCCAGGACAGCCAAAGACAAGACAAAACAAAACAAAATCTAAGACAAAAACACCCCCACCACCAACAAAAACCCCCCACAAAACAACAACAAAAAACCCCCCATACTTTTGAGTGTTATGTGGGAAAATGCTCATTTTCTGTTGGTTCTGAACTCCTACAGGAAAATTCCTCCTTTATCCCATGAGGCCTGTAACCTGGTAGCAGCTACCTAAAGCATAGACAGAATGTGTCTGGGGGTATGAACAGTCGTATCTGCAACTCCCAGAGTCTAGCCTAGGCTCCCTGCCGAGGCTACCCTCCATATCTGCTGTTTGTAAATTCTCACTGAGATGATTCCAAACTTACCTCCTTCTGCAACCCCCACCAAGGTCCATGGTGGGGGCTTGCTCCTTTCAAGAAAAGCTCCTGAGATGCTCATCCAGCCCTCGGGATGCTAACGGGGAGCTCCAAAGGGAGCCAAGTTATTACTTAATCTTTGTGGTGTTTTAATACGGTGGAAAAAGCAACAGCCAGCCTGATTAGCTCCCTGCTCAGACTTCCCGAGGCCGCACTGGGAGCCGACGTCAGGGCTCTAACTTGGAGCCCTGGGAAATGAATTAATGAGTTGGCAGGTCAGCCAGGGACACAGTCTGTAGTGATCTTGAATCATCTTTGAGACACAGCACACATCTTTGCCTCCTTAGCATTGAGCCCCAGGGTCTTGTTTCCCTGTGTGACCAGTCTCGTCTTTCTGACATTTCACATCGGTACAGTGTTCCCAGGTCCCCAGGGTCTCCGCCTTGGTCATGTGTGTTCTCATTCTGTCAGCAGCATTTAGCAGATGCCTGCTCTAGACTATGGTAAAGTGACTCTGGGTGGTTCATCTCCTCCCACAGCTCCAGAGCGTGGTGTCCATGCACCTTCCATTGAAAATGGAGGGTTCTGTCCCGCCTGGTCTCACAACCGCTTTGCCCCAAATAAACACACAAAGACGTTAAGTATAAAATGTTTGTCCAATGACTCAGGCTTCCTACTGGCTAGCTCTGTCTTAATTATTAACCAATTTCTATTAATCTGTGTATTGCCACGAGGCTGTGGCTTACCCTAATCAGGCCTTCTCCTGGTCTAGAAGCCCCGCCTATCCTTTCTGCCTGGTTATTGACCAATCAGTGTTTTATTCATCAACCAATAAGAGAAGGACATCCCCCATCATTCCTCCTCTGACTTTTGGGGACGGCGGTTGGTCCTGATGTGGGGATGGTGGTTGGTCCTGATGTGGGGACTCATATTTGTTCCTGCAGTTCTGGGTGCAGTGCTTCACCCTGAGACTTAAAGGTGGGCTGCCTCCCGGGCATCCTGTGCCTGCAGTCACACCTGTCCACCCTCTCCGCTCCGTTCACCCTTCCCAACGTCACCAGTGTCTCATTTCTTTCCCTGTTTGTTTTTTCTGGTGTTAGGGATTAACCCTCGTGATACTAGGCCTGTGTCCTGATACTGAGCTCAACCCCAGTCCAGTGTTCCAGTTTCGAGGCCTGAAGGCCAACCCAGACCTGGCATTCATGGTGTCTGAGGTTGAGCTTTGCCATGTTGCCCCATTACCCATCTCCAGAAGTTTCTGCTCACACCCGCAGCCTCTTGCTAGCTGTGGGTCTTGTGTGGCCCTGGAAAGAGGGCCACCTACTCAAGGTTACAGTGGCTGTTGGCAGGAAAGGGGGTAAGGCCTCGGGCATCGAAGATGGTGGCTCGGCACCCATGAAGCGTGCCACCTTCCCTGCAACCCCACCTCTCACAGAGGTATGGTGTCAGTGGTCCCCAACTGCAGCTCTGCAGAGCCGCAACGCAGCAGAAGGCTTGACTTCACTGTGTGAGAAGCCATGAAGTGCACACCGTCTGATTCTGACACACGTGTGGGCCCCAGAGCCTGGCAGCCCTAAGCAGGGGAGGCAAGTGGGGAGGGCTGGGCTCCCTGCGCATCGGCTGCTCTTCCCGCCCTGAGGAAAAGCTGTTTTGAATCACACGGTCTGAGAAATGATGGATCATGGGAACGTAATCCTAGAAATAACAGCTCTTAGAAGGAGGCCTCTCAAAATCCCTCTTTCCTTGGCCTCTTCCACTTCTCCTCCTGCCCCTGCCCCTCCTGTCAGCCCCAGGCAGCCCACAGAATCGCCAAGGACCAAGTCCTCTGGCCCCTGCGCTCATGCTTTTCCTAATGAGCCTTAGACCCCCAACTGCTCTGTTGGTATCACAACCTTGTGTGTAGGCTCCTGGAGAGGCCTGTGAGGATCTTTCCACCACCAGGGGCAGCGGGGAGCCTGACAGGAAGACATAAGAAATCTGAGGGTGTGAGAGTGTCAGGTAGTGAGAGGGGCTGGGCAGAAAAATCTCAGCCAAGCAAAGAACAACACAGCAGGAAGCTGGCCCACAGCAGAGACCTCAGTGAAGAACAGAGGCATGCTCACTCACCAGGAAAGGCCATGCGGAGAGGCAGGGACAGCATGAAGACAGGGGACACATGGGACGAGACTGGCGGGGGCTGGTTTGACTAGAGTCAGGGGAAGAGTGGGCTCTGAGGCCCTGAGTGAGGCAGTGGAGAGGGAAGGAGGTACTATGACGGCTCTAAGTCACAGAGGCTGAGGGGACAGCTGGCAAGCAAGTCACAGACAGCAAGAGGACGGCTTGTAGGGGAGCCATGGATACCAACGGGACGGCTTGCTGAGCTGCTGTGCTGAGAATACATCAGATTGGAGCAGAGAGAAAGCAGAGAAGCCCACTGGACACTGAGAACGGCAAGCGCGGGCGGCACTGAAGGGCCGTGGTCTGGGTCTGGCTTTGAAGCTGACGGCATTCAGAAGAGTGGGAGAGTGGGCAGTGTGGAGGGAGGAGGGCGGGACTGAGGCCTTTGGCTTGGACATGGTAGCTTGGAGATGTTGTAGGCAAATGTGTTGTCACTCTAGTGGTTTGTAGGTTGAACCAAAAATTGGAAAACACTGGTGCCTTGGAACTTTCAAAGCCATTACGTGGGATGATGTCATATCACCTGGCTTACAAAAGCCTCACGCATTAGTTCCATCTCTTCAATCTTCATGGTAAGAAAATACCCAGGCCAGCTTCTTCCCACAGTGAGGAATGTTGCCATTCTGAGAAAACAGGACTAGCCTTGAAGCATGGAGATCATGAGCAGCCTGCAAAACCATCTAAGTCAAGCCAATCCAGGCCCCTCAACAGCCTTCTGCAGACCCTGAGTGGTCTCAGTCTGCATCAGCGGACCCTTCCAGCAGACTGCAAACCCCAGTTTGACATTTCAAGCCCATCAGTTTGGGGTGGTTTGTTACACAGCTGCAACTGACTGACACACAGGATAATTATTCCTACAAAGAGGGAGAGATGCTAAGTGTTGGCCACCAGTTCCCATGGGGAAGGAAAGAACATTCCTTTCTAACTTTGAGCCAGGAGAGTCACTCAGAGACCATGGCTGTGTCTCCCAGGAATTGAGGAATGTAGAGGCTTGTGCCTGACTCATATCCAAAGGCCCTGGGAAAGGGTTGCACTTCTAGCAAAGATAAATATACTTTCCATGGACCAGCCGTGGCTCTTACAGAATGGTCCCTGACCAAGAGGGTAGCCCAGGCTTAGGAGTTGACCAGAGATCTTGCCTGAAGGGAGCATTGTAAGTGCCCAGATGAAACAGGGATTATTTTAGCAGGAGAGCCCAATGCTAGGAAGGCTAGAACCTATGAAAATACTGGAAGAAATACAACCAGGGAATACCTACAGCAGTATGCACGTGCCCAGGAAAGTGGGCCCCTGTGTGCCCTCCTATCAGAGTGGAGTCGGTGGGGCAAACAAGTAAGATCTTCCCACTGCTGTTTCCCAAGCCAGAATCAGACCCACAAGGAAAGGGCAGGATTTGTGTCAAATTGACAAAGCTGGGGTTTTCGTATTAGCTAGGTCTGGACTTATGTCCTAAACTGATTAGGAGATGAAGAGGGCCTGGAAGGAATCCATGGAGCAAGTCAGACAGTTGAGCCCCTCAGGCTGTGGTAGTTTAAGTGAAAATGGCCCCCACAGGGAGTGGCATTATTTGAAAGGATTAGAATGTGTAGCCTTGTTGGAATAGATGTGGATTAATTAGAGGAAGTGTGACACTGGGGATGGGCTCTGAGGTTTCAGAAGCTTAAGCCAGGCCCAATGTCACTCTCTCTTCCTGCTGCCTGCCCCTCCAGCACCATGTCTGCCTGCACACCACCATGCTTCCCACCATGGCGATAATGGATTGAACCTCTGAACTGTAAGCCAGCCCCAGTTAAATGTTTTCCTCTATAAGAGTTGCCATGGTCATGGTGTTTTTTCACAGCAACAAAATCCCAAGGCACAGGTCATTTCCAGTGTGATGTGTGTGCAGGGGCTGTCCAGCTCTGGCATACTCATATGTCCCGGGTTAAGCCCTCCATCCCCGGGGCCACTTGCCTTTTCCTTAATTTCAAAATCTCCATCTCCAGCTCAGATCCACCCAAGAGATTCGAATTCTCCTGTGGCAGGTCCGTGCCTGCTGCAGAACCTTCTTCTGGCTTGATCACCACATGCTTATTCACTCTGATTCTTGGGTCACGGCCAGTTGCAACCTCCTCAGTCACCCTTACTCTCATGCTCCCGACTGCTGATGGTGTCCCTGCTAGTCATGCCGGTCTCCCTAGTCTCACCCAGTGGCCATCCCAGTTCTGCTTTCCTCTTTCGGGCCGGCCCAACCTGGGTCCGTAGCCTCTCGGGTGGCTAGAGGGAGCCTTCTACACCGAATATGCTGCTCCAGAAAGTTATATTCTGGGCTGGGGCTGTGCTCAGCGACAGAGCGTTTGGCCAGCAGGCAGAAGACCCTGAGCTGGATCACCAGCACTGCAGAAATAAATCCAACCTGCTTCCTGTGGCCTTTAGAAGTGGGCCAGCATGCCATGATCTTTCCCTCCTGACAGTGTGACTCCTCTAGAGCAGGGAAGGGTGGAGGCTGAGCCTCCTGATCCAGGCTTGGGCCCAGTGCTGGTACTGGCGAGGGCCAGGAGGGTAGTTGCCAGCTATGGAGCAGGCTCAGGTTCATGGAGCTGAAGTGACTAAGGTAGTGGCTCCACAAAGTCACTGTCTTGGGGGCCAGCAGCCTGGATGGAATCCTGGGGCCTCACCTCCCTGCTAAATAAGCTGGGAAAGCCACACTGCTTCTTTGGGTCTTGTTTTCTCATTTAGGGCAAAGGGACCAATAGAGAAAAGGAGGGAGCCATAACTACTGGCCTCCTGCCTTGCAGGCTGGGTGGCCGCAACAGCTGTAGGATCAGTCAGCTCGCAGCCCTTCCCAGCCTGGTGTTCTCTCGCCTGTCCCCAACCCCGTGGAGATGGCAGAGCAGAGCCCAGCAGGCCGCCCAGGGGCTGGGGACCGAGACATGTTCACCACTGATGTCAGCGTACTAGAGGGTCACAAGGTTCCTCCTGACCCATGTTGCCACATCTAATCTAGAGCTGACCTGAGTCCCACATTCCGTGTATCCTCTGGAGGCCACACAGGGCGCCTGCGCCAGGCCTGGGGATCCCAAGAGCACATGGACAGAGAGTTACCGGACAAGGTCCAGCAGGGCATCAGCTGAGCTCATGACTGGCTTCCCACTCTGTTCGGTCGTCTCCTTCTGCGCTGCGCCGCCCGGGTGGATGATGGAGACCATGATGATGCCCACGATGACGGCCAGAAAGGTAGTCCACAGGTAGTATGCCACAGTGAGGAGGCCCAGGCGGCTGGAGGTCTTGGCATCCAGGGAGGCAAGGCCAGACATCAAACTGGAAGGCAAGACGGGTCAGGTTTGTGAGAGGCACAAGACCTCGGCCAGGAACTCTGGTGTGCTCACTGTGGCTTCCTCTCCACTGAGCCCTGTACCCTCCAGGTGCTCCAGGAAGTCAGTCTCCCTCCCAGCCATCAGTCCTGAGGCTCCTAACCCCCCTTGCTCTGTGCTCTGTCTCCCTGAAACCTGGGTCTCCAGTCCATCACACCTCTGGATCCCTACATATGCTGCTCCCTCTGCACGGTTCCTCTCAGAAGCCCCCTACACTTGTCCAGCCCCTCTCGAGACAGGACCAGGCCATGTCACTTCCATGGTGAAGTCCTTTCAGGCTGCCAATGGTAGGGGCTCCCTCAGCCTCTTCTCTCATGACCCTGGTTGTCATGGTGTATTTACCTGCCTAATCCAGTCACAGGATTGAGTGCCCATGAAAGGGACATGTCTGACTTCTCTATGGGTCCCCAATGACCAGAGCACTGGCTGGCAAGGCGCCAGTGGCCCCTGCAGGCTTACTGAATGAACCAATGAGTGAGGGACAGACAGTGACCTAGCCTGTCAGCTGGCCATGCAACCTCTGACAAGCAAGTCTTCCTTCTGGGGGTCCAAGATTCTCCCTCTCCACATGAGAACACAGAGGCATGTCTTCCAGAGTGCACTGAGACAGACCACCCCTTGCCTGGCCAGTGCTGAAGGTGTCTCTGCTCTGGGGAGGGAGCTGAGAGATTAATTAAGGAAATGCCTGCACTTTGTTTCTCTGCCAAAAGGATTTTCCTCCAAAGCCCTTTCATTCTTTCAGATAAAGGAAGTATTTGTTTGGATTAATCATGTAAACAAGAGCAGATAATCCTCCCATTTCTCATGCTCTCCCCAATGTCAGCCCTATACCCAGAGCAGCCAGTGCCCAGCCTGTACAACAGACCTTACCCCTGAGACCTGGGCAGCTCTGTTTGGTCCTGGGCATGGACTGACTCTCCCGTTAGGACCAGGTCCTCCTGGAGGCATCTCATGACATTAGCCTCCTCTCCTGGTCTCTGTCCCCACCCCATTTCTTTGAGTTGTTATATTATAAGGTGCCCCTGAGGGAGGGAGGGAGGGAGGGAGGGAGGGAGGGAGGGAGGGAGGGAGGGAGGGAGGGAAGAATGCACAGTCTCCTTTCTCCTCCTCTTCCAGGGTGCCATATGCTAGTGATGGACTTAGGGTTGGTCTCAGACATAAATCGCAAAGGCCAGTAATGGGATTTTCAGCAGAGTAAACGAGGCTGCTGGGACCATTATCCAAGGAAGATTACCTCTGCCCTCCCTCAGCAGAACTGTGGAGAGGCCCACCTGCTGCAGGCCATAGGGAAGCCAGTCCCTGAGAGAGGGCATGCCCTAATCCACCCCCACTAGTGTCCTGCCAGACCAGCACTCATGCCAGCCTAGGCTTGTCTGATTTCGTGTCTGGATCCTATCCCTGACCTCAGGAAGTAGCTACTCTGCCAGGAAGCAGGGGGGGGGGGTGGCAGACAAGAGCACCAGGACACAGGTAACTGCTGCAGAAGTTGGACAAATCTGAACAGTAAGGAAGGTGACAATGAAAGGACATTCCTGTTAGGGGAGAGCTCTAGCTAAAACAGTAGGGAAGGGTTTCCTGGAGGCGGTGGCATCGAAGTTAGTTCCTCCAAGATGGGGAGGGTTTGGAGATGCCAACAGGAGCGGGTGGCAGAAGGAGACTTTAAAGTATGGGACACTGGGCTGCTCAGTGAGGTCATAGCTCAGGGTCTGTGTGCGCTGTGGAGACAGGACAGAAAAAAACGGATTGTAGGTGGCCTTGAATGTGAGTCAAGGAGGGGCTGGGAGGCCCCACGGGGTGCAGAGGAGAGAGAGCAGTCATTACTTCCCAGGTACTGGGTCTAACAGTGTCTGCATAGGTGAGAGGCACAGAACCAAAGATTCCCAGGATTGGGGGTTCCAGCACAAACCATGGACCCCCTAAAGCCCCCAAAATGGTCAGGAGCAACAATTTGGACCTCAGATAAAATGATGTCTGTTCACCGCTGTGCTGGGCCACCCACCATAAGGGACAGACCCGTCACTGGAAAGCCCGTCCCAGTGAGACATGAAGTGGGGCTGAGACTCAGCTTCAGGGAGTCCCAGAGCATCTTGGGAAACAGACCCCTCTCTCACTTGCAGTTCAGACTCACAGCCTGAGGGACTGTGGGCAGGGGCGCGATGAGAGTCAGATCTCCTAAGGACGAGGTTCTTGAGGAAGGGGCCCAGCGAGGTGGCACCAACGGGGACACCTAGATGCGGGAGGTGGGGAAGAAATGCAAACCCGGTCACAACTTGAGGCCCTGTGGTCCAACCCCAGAGGGCACCGTAGTCTGAGAAGGTGTGATGAGAGATCTACACAGGGCCATGCAGGCCTGCTCAGAACTCCTGCACCCCGCCTCACCGACCACCCCGCCTCACCTACCACCCCGCCAATGGGCCTGGTGAGCGGGAGAGGCAGGGAACACGCCTGTTGACAATAGCCAGGAGAGTAGGCAGCTCCCCAGGCTGGCGCTGGCAGTGCCCAAGGTGACTGCAGCCCATGACAGTGGCCAGCAAGACTGGGAGCAAAGTGCCAGGAGAACACAGGCCCTGTGTGAGAGCAGCGCCACTCCTAAAACTGGTGGGCACGAGGGATGGAGGGTAAGTTTCTACCGTCTGGGGTCTGGGGATCCCTCCTGCTGGTGAGTTCCTTGAGAACTGAGACTCTAGGCCAGTGGTTCTCAACTTCCCTAAGGCTGCAACCCTTTAGTACAGTTCCTCATGTTGTGATGAGCCCCAAACATAAAATTATTTTCGTTGCCACTTCCTAACTATAATTTTGCTACTGTTATGAATCACAATGTAAATATCTGATATGCAGGATATCTGATATGCAACCCCTGTAAAAAGGTTGTTTGACCCAAAGGGGGTCGTGACCCACAGGCTGGGAGCCTCGCTTTAGAGCCTCACTGCTACAGTGGTTTTCTGTCTTTCTTTTTTTTTTTTTTTCTTTCTGAAAACTGACAAGTTAAGACATATTGGTACCTGGGAGAGCATCAAGCCTCAAGGACACTTGTGCATGTGTGGCTGAATGAAGGGAGTGGCAGTCTGTGGAGGGAGAGAAGACCTCGGCATTCTGCCTCCCTATTTCTCCGTGTTCTCGCTTATGTCCAGAACAAGCGTGTCTTGGGTGGTGGAAGACACTGCCCCAGACTCTCTGCCTGGCAGCCATAGAGGCTGCCAGGAGCTTTTCAGTTCCCCATAGACGTGAGTATCTGCCTCATTCCACCGCTCAACAGCCTTGTAAGTCGGTGGCACCCTGAGGAATCCCGATGTCAGAGCCATTAGATTTCCTAATCGTTATCTTTTTTCTTATTTTTGAGAGTCTGGCCCTAAACTCTGCCATCTCCTTCCTCAATCTCCCAAGTGATAGAATTATAGTCTAGTATCCCTTAGCCCTTAATTAACTTTAAAAAGTTCAAAAAGGTCAAGCCAGCCCGGACCACAAAGTGAGGCCCTGTCTCAAATGAAAATAAAAGTAAAAGGAAATATGGAATCTATTTAATAACACTTTAGGGCTGGAGAAATGGCTCTGAGGTTAAGAAAGAGCACTGACTACTCTTTTAGAGGTCCTGAGTTCAATTCCCAGCAACCACATGGTAGCTCTCACCATATGTAATGAGATCTGATGACCTCTTCTGCCTTGCAGGCAGAGTACTATGTACACAAATAATAAATAAATCTTAAAAATAATACTTTAACCTGGGATATCCAACTTATTGCCATAAATGATCAATGTGAAATGTTTTACACTGCTCAGTCTTTACATTTTAATTAAGATTAATTAATGAATCAATATGTGCACTAGCTGCATTTCAAGTGCTTGATAGGCTAGTGGCTTCGTATTGGGCAGTGTGTGTCTGAGCTGTACATAAGGGAAGTGGAACTCAGGCTACTCAGGAAGTAAGTTCTAGAATCAAGACTGGAATAGAGGTTCCTGAGCCCTCTCTCCAGGGTTCCTTGATAGTAGATATGGTCCTGGTCTAAGGCCTAGTTTGGTATGATAATGACTGTCATGTGGTCCAGCCCATGTAATAGCATCTCATTTCAACTCTCCGAGTTCTGTACATAGCTATAGCCTATAGATTTGTGGTGGTGAGCCTGCCATCTGAGAAAGTAACCAAATACAGCCTAGAGGACCAGCTGTTGGGATACTAGACCAAGACTTACAGATGGAATAGTAGGTCCCAAAGTGATGACCGCAGATATTCCTCCTGATTTAGGGTAGGGACAGTAACTGTGTTGTCTACCTCACTCGGGGCTTAGCTGGTTGCTCTTAGGATGCCTAAGGTCAGTAAAAGGGCCCCAGGGAGGATGGGAGCTCAGAGGCCTACATCTCCCTCCCAAGCCATCTGGTTCACTACTGAGTGCCCAGGGATTGGGGATCAAGAGATTGAAGTGATTAGAGACATTAGCTTGTAGAGACGATAGGGAGCTGGCCTGGCTCCCAACCTGTTTCAGTCTGCAGGAGTGGGGGAAGGGAGGCCTTGACTGCTAGGCTTCTCACCTGGCTTCCACATCAGCGCCCAGGTTGTCACTCTGAACCCCACCAGATAACTGAGCAAGAAACACCATGGTGGGCAGGACTGGAGGAGATTCTGCTGAGGCCCTGACCACTTGCTTCCCCCATTCAACCTCGGCGCAGAGTGCCCGGCCTTAGCCTTCATTCCCAGGTGACCCATAGAACAGTTAAAACCACTTTGGGCTGGACGGTGGTAGCTCACACCTTTAATTCCAGCGCTTGGGGGGCAGAGGCAGGCCGATCTCAGTGAGTCCAAGATCAACCTGGTCTAAACACCAAGTTCCAGGACAGCCAGGACTGTTACACTGAGGAAAACAAAACAACAACAAAAACCGCTTCGGGTTGGCCTTCCTCACTCTCCTTGCCAGCTCCAGCCACCTTCTCGCCACCGTGTCCTCTGGAGTCCTT